CTCTCCCTTGTGGACCTTTGCTGGTGGGAAGAGAATTGGCTCCAGTGTGCCGAGTAAAGGTGTTTCACAAGCTGAGTGCTGCTGGCTAACGTTCACATAGGGAAGTTCCTGGCAGAAACCTTCTGATCCAGACATGGAAACCTTTCTCCTTCTGCCTGTGTCTGTTTATTTTTCATTTCGATATTTGGATCGTTTCTACACCTATGGTCTACATCTATTTCCACCAGCGATCCAAAGCCTATAGAGCTGGAATGTGAACAGAACATCTAGAACAATATAACCCTGCCTGTAGCTGGAGTTAAAACATAAAATACAAATAAAAAATGAAAGAATTGCAGCTTAATTAACAGGTACTTCTTTTTGAAATGTCCCAAAAACATGCTTTAACTAAAAGAGGGTACTGCAAAGCCAAATTGGCCTGGTCAGTGCAGGGAAATTACTTTTGGTAGGGAACGGCAAATCTCGATTCCAGGGTACTACCTTCACCACGGCTAAGAGGAGGAACACGGGCTGTATTAGCCCCAGATAGGTACAAAATGTTTGTATATATAGTCGTGAGTTATGCAAGCTGCAGAGAAAGCATGTGGGAAGTGCATGCCAGAGGGAGGAGAGGAACTGAGTTGCTAGCCCATCTTTGCAAGCTGCTTTAAAATAATCTCCCTTCACATTCAGCTGTCTGCTCACTGTCACCATAGTGACGCTGCTCACCCGCCACCCAAATCTGCTTCACAGCTTCCGTCAGGAGTCCCACCTCCAAGAAGCCATTGCTCCTGAATCATTGAATCATAGAAGCCTAGGTTGGAAGGGACCTCAGGGATCATCTGGTCCAACCTTTCTAGGCAAGAGCACAGTCTAGACAAGATGGCCCAACAACCCATCCAGCTGAGTCTTAAAAGTGCCCAGTGTGGCGGACTCAAATCTCCCCTGGGGAGATTATTCCAATGGTTGACTGTTATTGTGAAAAATTTCCCTCTCATGTCCAGTCAGAATCTCCCCAAGAGCAACTTGTGTCCATTCCCCCTTGTCCTCTCCATGTGACTCCTTGTGAAAAGGGAGTCTCCATCTTCCTTACAGCTACCCCATAGGTACTGGTATATGGTGATGAGATCCCCTCTAAGCCTCCTCCTGGAAGTGTCCCTCCCTCCCAGCCCCAAGGGAAACCTCCCCTGACAAACCAGCCTTCTCATTAATGCCTCTGCTCACCAGCCTGTGCACAGCACCCTTCTTCCTCGACAGGACACTGCGATGCCACTACATGGGCAGAAGTGCACAGACTGCCGAGTCTGCAGAAGGAGAGAAGCACATTTGGTACCCAAACCCGTGCTCTTGGTAACTGTCTCCCATTTATAAACAAAGGATTTGAACCTGTGAGAGAGAATGATCATGTTTTCCTGGAAAGCAGGGCTGTGCATGTGCTGTTACAGTTTCAAAGCCTCTGGGAAAAACTGAGAGCTTCACAGGAATTGCCAAGTAGGGAGGTTAAGGCAGTTGGTGTGGGTGGGTTTCCCCCACCCGTGGGCACCCCTTATTGAGCAGTGTGTCCCCAGATAGACTGGGATCATGGGACTGAGTTATCTGTGTTTTCGAACCCAGGTGGGGTTCCCACCATATCCTCCCTTCATACCCCTGGGCACCTTCAGATCAGTGCTCTCAACACAAAACATCAAGGAAGAAACAGAGAAATGGCCATGTCTATTCCCTATCTTCTTCTTCTCCGATTGCTCCTTGACTTCCGCTGGGACTGATCCTCTGCCATGCTATGACTGATTTCAGCTTCCCTCAGCCCAGCCACCCTAACAAGCTTAAGTGATAAAATATAGAAAACCTTTGCATTCTTTGCAGGGAAAATCAGTGCTCTCTATAACATAATGAATTTTACATCTATGCTTTTTATGTGCAATGTTGAAATCGTTTTCGGTACCTTTCTAGCTGATGTATCAGGGACACATAGATCCTGAGACACAGATGTGATGGAAGGTGGAGGGTGATGTGATTCGCAGAAACCAGAATCTATGAAGGAGCCAGGGGGATGAGAAGAGCCTCCTTGCTGGTCAGGGTAAATCCACTGCAGCTCTAGGCATGTCCTGGGTAGGTTTTAGAAAACCTTATAGAGGACCCCATTTACAAGCCTTTTCTTTGGCAAAGTTAGTTGTTCTTGGTAGTGTTGAAAACAGCCTGGTTTTAATATGAGCTGTGTAAAAGACTCACATAAAAGCCATAAGGAGCAATGGGAAACATGGGAGGTTTATCGTTAAAGTATCAGAGGAACACTGGAAAAGATCAAGGTTTGATTCCTGGCTGTGCTGATGACCTTAGGTAAATCATTCAGGAACAGGCTTGGAAGAGAGACCAGCTTCCTCAGGAAGTTTTTCAGATCAGCCCCTCATTGGGAATCAGGGGGTGCAGAGCACAGTTGAAAGCACGTTCTTCAATTCCTAAAGGGAAGCAGAGACCTTTTCAAAGTTTGATAGTGATTGCGAGTGCTGAGCAAATCAAAATCTGAACTTAGACTCTTCTGAGAATCTTGTTTCATCTTTCTGTGCCTCTTTTTCCCCAAGTGTAAAACAGGGAAAATAAATATTTTACCAGCGTTGTAAGGATAAATGTATGAATATTTGCTGAGATACAGTGGTGAGAGAAGCTACAGAATAAATAGGATGGATATTGCATTAAAAAAAGTCCCAAGTCCTATTTTTATCCCAATGGTGGATTAGTGACAAGAACAACGGGAGTCGATTCAACCGAATTAGTAACCACACAACCTTTTATGTGACAAATGCCACCTTTTTGCCTGATGATTATTTCCAGTGGGATAGGATCACTATTTTTTATGCCCTCTATGCACTTGGACAGTATTTGGTAAATTGTAGCACTAAGTCTGACACAGAAAGTACTGCTGAATACAGTTACTCCATTACTCCCAACATTACCAGAAAATATATTTTCTGGACCTGGTTAATACACCACAGGTGATCAGCAAACTAGCTTACTTCTAGATCACCGAGGGATGATGAAGCTTGTTTTCCATTGACATATCACTGATTTCTGAATGGAAAATTCTGCTGAGACAGCCTGCAGCTCAGACAGCGCACATGTTACTAGGATAGCAGAGAAAGGCATTGAACAGTGCATCTGAGACATCACTGACTTATGAGAGAACAATATTGGACTAAATATGAATAAAAAGCTATCCTTTTACACAGTTTAGTACAGCAACATTGAAATCGTACCAGGATAAACAACCGCCTTGCAATAAGCGTGCTCATCCATCATTCAGTGTTAAATCTGAACTGCTGCTTATCTCAATTTCTTTGTGTTAAGTGTTTCTAAATTATAAATAACCCTGCAACTCTCACAATAATATATACTCTGTAAGGAAAAGGTAAGTACAGAAATAAATTATTAAAATGATCTATTTAAATATTACCACACTTGATTTATCTGAGGATTTGGAGATTAAGGCAGCCACTTTGTCATATTAGAAGAGATATTGACAAGGAGTCTATGGACAAATATGCATCTATATTGCATAAATAGACTTCGTGTATGTGCATGTGGTTGTGAAATCATTACATCACCTTCACTCTAAGGCTTGGGTTTTCTTTTAAGGTCATTGGCAAACTGTCTTGGCCTTAGTGAGAGTAAAATCATATCCTAAGTACATACATCTCTGTTCTCCCTTTGATCTGAGCACTGAACTGTGTTTAACATTAAAGAGAGCAAGTCCAGCCATAAGCATTTTCATGCCCTAAGCAAGCATCAAGTACGAGACTCCTCCTTGTCATGTCTCTTTTTCTCTTTCATGTCTCTCTTCTTTTCTTTACCTTAATTCGCTTGCAAGAGAATCTTTCATGCCTTAAGGAGGGATGGTTTTGTGATTAAGGCATCTGATGGAGAGCCAGGTTCAATTACCAGGCCTTCCACATAATAACTACCCTGGGTAGGTCACTTAGCAAAGTGCCTTGCAGAACCGCAGTGCTAATAACTAAATGGACCACGGACCATCCTCTGCTGGTGACGCCAACCAGCATGAAATGGCCGAAACACTGTGACCACATTGAAAGTGTTTATGGGGAATGTCTCTGATCTCTGTTTGTCCATGAACCATCCCCAGGCACTGCTTAGAAGAGCATTAGTTGACTTGAGTCAAAACAGTCCCAGGGAGCATGTTAACAGTTAAATGATGTGACATGGACTTGATTGCTTTTCTACCACAGCCACAGCCTTTAGTTACCAACCTGGTAACACAGGGCTTCTCCTGTGTTTCAAATATTTCTCACAGCCCAAAAATAGAGGTAAAGCCCCTGCAGGTTTCTCCCATCCTCTCATTGCCTGCACCAGGTGAGCAGGCTAGTAAAGGAAGGCAGGGCAGGTGGATTTCTGCAAGAGACTTTGCATCTGAAGGCCAAATGTTGAGTCCAGCAAAAATTAACAGCAAGGAGCTAACACTGTGGCAGTGCTATAGCTGAGCTGAGGGAATAGTGAACAGAGTGCAATCAAAAAAAAAAAAAAAAAAAAAAATTTATGAAGGGAAGGCTGGAGGCAGCTGGAGACACAATGAATGAGAATACATATGACACCAAGTCCAGAAGAGAGAGAGGATGCAATAAGAGAGGATGGCATAAGAAAAATGTCAGAAGTGGTCTCTGTTCTTGCAAAATGTCAAACATTGCTGAGCAGTGGTCAACATCAGATATATCACCCCATATGTCTGTTATCAGTTATGAATCAAATGGAATAAGATGCTCTATGAGAACACAAGACAAATATATTTCTTACTTTCTATGCTATCCAGCAATCCATTAACATTATTCTTGAATGTTTTATTGACAAAACTTTTTTAACAGCTCATGTATCCTTTTGCCTTTTCTAATTCCTTCCATCTCTTCTTTAGACGTCCAGTGGAAAGACTTGTTGCCTTGTTCTTCACTGGCTTGTGGGACAGCCCTTCAAACTTGGCAATGGATCAGAAGGACTGAAGAGCACTTTTGCTCCCACCAATGTTTCTCAGAGTTGCTAAAACAGGACCAATGAAGATGTTCACCAGACTCCAAGTCCTTGCGTTAGCTTTATTTTCCAAAGGTGTTTTCCTTTCCCTAAGTGACCACAGCTTTGTAAGAAAGGAAATTAAGATAGAAGGAGACCTGGTCTTAGGTGGCTTATTCCCAATCAACGAAAAAGGCACCGGGATAGAAGAATGTGGGAGAATCAATGAAGACCGAGGCATCCAGCGCTTGGAGGCCATGTTGTTTGCCATTGATGAAATCAACAGAGACAACTACTTGCTGCCAGGAATTAAGCTTGGAGTTCACATCTTGGACACTTGTTCCAGGGATACATATGCCTTAGAACAGTCTTTGGAGTTCGTCAGGGCATCTTTGACTAAAGTGGATGAAACAGAGTATATGTGTCCTGATGGCTCGTATGCCATTCAAGAGAATTTACCATTACTCATTGCAGGAGTCATAGGCGGTTCCTATAGCAGCGTCTCCATACAGGTAAGTCACAGGAGCCCCAGCAGGTGAGAATCATTCGTCTGCAATTCCTGCAAGAGAACCACTGCTTACATACATTTGTCAATAAAACAAGTCTTAGCTCAATCACCTTACCCTAGGGGTTAATCTAGCATATAATTTTTACTGAATTTATATTAGTTTGAGTCACTCTTTAAAACACTTGCTCTAGTTTAAAGCTCTGGCAGCTGTCCACTTCATCTAGCTGTGGCATATCCTGAGGGCATCTGGAGTTTCCAAAATTCTTAGTATCTATTTTGAACTTTGCATTTCATGAGACTTTTACAACTCTAAGTTCAGATCTCTGTTTTCACATAAATAATTATACCACCCATAATCCTGAATGTAATATGCCTGCCATGCTGCATGTACATAACACTTGTCATTTAAACTACGGAGATTTAAAATGAAAGAAGAAATCCTTATCTTACTTCCAGGCTGAAATAAATTAAAAATGGCATACAAGGCAGAAACTTAAATTACACCTGACCAAATGATTGTGATATTTTAGTGTCTAATTAAGCACACTAAAGCCTATGAAAATTATTCTGCTGATCTCAGTGAGCAAGGTCTCAAATATCCCATGCAGGCAGTAAAGTTTCTGAATGGATTCTAAATTTGCTGTCTTTCCTTTTGTTTCCAGTTATAGTTCATACCAAGACAGTTTTTGTCAGGAAATATTGCCTGGCAGAGTACACTGTACGCGCTGTCAGAAGTCCAGCACAGAAGACAGATGCCCTCAGTATATCTTGCTCCCTCCTGGCACATTGTAACTGCAGCTTTTGGTTGTGCAATACTGGTCCCAAATAGAGTCTCAGTAGGGTGTTGGAGAGTATTTAATGGCTTGCAAAGGTGTAAAGTTGCAGGTGGGTTAAATGTTCCATATGTCTTTCCAACTATGCTTTTATTGCATGCTTGGTTTCAGTTGCAAGGGGCTAAACATAATGTCGATTCCATTCAGTCTTGGCCTCCCATTTTTTATAAATTCATGATAAAACTTTAATTCCTTGGCCTTTTTCCCATTAAATGAACATGAAGAATGTATATATTTTGGGTTGAATTAAATAAGCCAGTCCACATCACTCATAACCACAAGTAAGCAGTGTCTCAAGCCCAGACTCAGGTAGGCTAAGACCCTGCATCTAGTATTTCCAAATGGTCAGCTGTAAGTTTCCAAAGGCACCAAGCCTTTGCAGTGTTGGACTACTACAAACAATATGATTTTCCAGACTGAGTGCAGGCCCTAATTACTGCATCAGTGTCAAAGGAGAAAAATGTTCTTCTGTGCTACAGACTATCCCAGCAGTGACAGAAAGCTCATGGAGCTCATTTACCTGTTTCATAAACAGGACAAGAGTTCATCCAATGCTCACTGGGGAACTGGCTCCTGCTCTTGTTGAGGCATTAAATCCCATCAGTTTGGGAGCGTGGCCAGTTTCCATCAGACATGCATAAGCACAGAAGTGTTTCAACAAATCACATTTTATTCCCTTTTGTGTTCCAGTGTGTGGCTTCTCTGTGCATTCGTAGTGGGGAATACAGGGGCAAATGGTTACCCATACCACAGGAGAACAGTTTCTGCAGAGCAGAACCTCAGCCATCTCTCACATTAGGAGTGGTTTTGTCCTACCGTGGACCAGCTAGCGCAGCAGGGATGTATCCTTCACCAGTCACATGGGTCTGATCACTTGCAGCACAAAGAACAAGTTCCAGGGCTGGAAAAGAGACATTTGAAGAGGAGAAATGATAGCTACAAAACCTTGAGCAACACAACCTGTGTGTTAAGGGAGTCGTTATTCATTGTCCCTTCCAGTCAGACAAAGGGTACATCAAGTGAAAGCAGCAAACAACAGGTTGTTGTGGATGGTAAAAACTAAATGAGTTCAAGAAGTGACCAGAAAAAATCAGGAAATTCTGTATAGATACCACCTCTGTCTCAGCAATTCCCAAAGCTGCAACTATCTCAAGGCTGGTAAAACATTTTGAAACATCATATGCTTGCCCTGGCCCACTGGTGGAGAGGTGGCAGTGGTTTCGCTGTACCTTTGGTCTAGTCGTTTCTGGTCAGTCTCTTTCTCAGCCCACCTTAAGTTCAAGTGTGTCCAAAGGATGCAAAGTAGCCTAAAAGGCACATCCATAAAAGTAGTTACAGCTGAGGAAATGGTACACATATTTCCTTCCCTCCCAGAAACCCCGAGGCAGGCACGCCACGTTCCTAAAATGGCCTGGGGTCTCTTGCACAACATCTGTCAATCTGTCCCTTTGAAGCCAGTCTCTGGTGATCACTGACGTAAGGCTAAATCCATATCTGAGACAGCAGATTGGATGCAGTACAGACTGAATATACATAATATATACCAGTGCTTCAAATTCCAAAAGCCTGGGTATAGAGCAGCTGTTACATGGAAATACAAAGTCCTGATAAGAAACTTTCTCATTCAGTACGTGTGGAAAATGGCAATATAGCTGTATGCATATCTGCTTGTTGCCCAATTTTCAAAACTTATGAAGGGTGATGAAACAATAGTCATATCTAATATTACTCCATACTCTATATGGCTTCCCTATAGTTGTCAATAGTTGTTCAAACATACGATCTTTCTTACACAGTTCTTCAGAGAAATAAAGAAACAGGTTCACAAATGATTCAATGTGTCATCAAGCATTTTCCAGCTAGAAAATTCAGTGATTACTTTCCCTTGACATATATTGGGCTGGCCTTCCTTCAGTCTCTCTTTTCTAGCTTTCTTCTGGATTTCAAACTGTCTAGAAAAGATGCAATTAAGCCATTCACCCCTTCTGCTCATCTTGTTAAGGTAGCCAGTGATGACTTCTGTTTCAAAAGAAAATCCCTGCCAAGAATAATAGACATTGCAGATTCAAGCCTGAAGATGTAAGGACTTCAAAGCATTAAAGCCGCACATTTTGGTACCATACCAGGAGAAGAGACTACCAAATTTCAGAGGCAGTCGCCTGTGCAGAGTAGCTCCAGTAGCAACTGGAATCACACCACCACCGAACGTCCAACCACTCCAGCAGGCTCATGAGCAAGGCTGAGCATCCCCATTCCCCATGCTTTCAAACAGCATTCAGGGTGCTGGGTGCTTCCAGATGTAGCCCTGTTAACAATTTCTCTTTTTCTTGAGAGCTATAAACGTCATAAAGTCCACAGCACAAATTCTTAGCCTTAAAATAAACCATGCTGAGCTCTTCAGACAAGAAATTATTTCTGCCTTTTTTTTTCCCCTCCTGTGAATTTGCCATTGCATTTCAATACTTTTTCTTCTCCTTCTTTCACCAGATTTTTGTCTGGACAGCTGTCTGCCAAATCACTTCATGATGCTCCTGCTGTCAGATTTCTGCTTCTTTCATTATCCTTCCACCAAGGAAAAAAGAATTTGCTGGTAAATCAGCAATGAACACCTTCCCCACTGAGTCATTGTGCGCGATAGACACTTTTTGCAGAGACTAAAAACAAGAGAATGCAGAATGCTTAATTATTTTCTGGTCAGACGAGGCTATTATCATTAATGATGATCTGGATAATTAGTTTTTAGATGTTGTGTTTAAATTAGCAGAGAGCCCAATCTGCACAGCATTTGATCCCTCAAAACCCAAGCCAGGATTCTCAGTCAATGGAAGAGCTCATGTAAAAAAAGCTGTTTTCATGAAATAAAATTCTGACATGAGCTGAATCTAGGATCAGAAGGTGAATTCTCCAAAGTATGGGGGACTTTATTTTGGATTCATGGCTTTTCATCTGAGCCAGATTATCTGCTGACTCCTAGTTTACAACAGCAATTTCAAATATATTTTCCTTGGAGATGTTCGATGACATTGTAAAAAGGGTAAGAAAAAAGCATTATTCATTTGCACAGAGGAGCACCTACATAGCTAACCCAAATGCCATGTTTAAAGTGCTCAGGTCAGCTCTGTCAGGAATATGCGTGTGTAAGCAGGAATACAACTGTTCAAGTGCCAAATTTGTTCTTCTCTCTTTCTGAAAACGGGACCCATCTTCTGAAAATGGGATCCATTCCCTGCAGTCAACTCTCTTAGAAACATTAAGACAGTTCTTTAGCTGGCCTGGGCTTTGCGTTTCCATATCCACTATATCCATGTTGATATAGGGCTTTAGTGCTGTGTAAAGTTTCCTTTATGCTACCAACCCACAAGACCTCTAGATCATGGTCATGAAAGTTAGAGCCTCATCCAGAAAAGATGGCAGAATAGAAACCAGTGCCCAGCTGTCTTCTCTTGAATTCCTTGCTGTGTCTCAAGTAAACTGAAGAAAAACCACTAGACAAGGTTTAAAGGTACATTTGCTATCACAAAAGCTAAGGTCTCTCTCCTAAGTGAGTAACCATCTGGCATGAAATTCAGAATATGTACTCATTTACTGGCAATCTTTTCCTGGCTGTCATTTCTCCTGAGCCACACAAGTCTGCCAAGGGCTCATGGAACCTGAAAGCTAATCGTGTCCATTTCCTTCCTCCAAGGATAAACCTCTTCCAACCAATGAGTCTTAACAATAGCTTGTGATTTCCATAACCACTGAAAATAGTGCAAAATCCTTAGAAGAACTACATGACAAAAAACAAACAAAAAAAACCCCCAAAAAACCCCATAACATGTGAGGGTCTGTCCCCCTGTGCATGGACCCAGTGGGGATATGGGCAGGAGAAACGTGCAGGGGGCTGCAGGGGGCAGCAGGGCCCACAGACCTCACATGCCATTTGTGCTGTGCTTGTAGAGGAGCTTTGCATTCAACTGTGCAGCGACAGCCTCTGGTGATTTTGTGCCTGTAAAACTAAACCAAATCCTTATTAAAAGATCTGTTCCCTGAGGTGGGCCACCTACCACTAACATTTAAGCTACATGTGCACTTATTGACTTCCCA